TTTTTTTTTTTTTTTTTTTTTTTTTTAATACGTTACTGGATTTTATCGTTCAAAAGTTTATCTTGGACAGAATTTATTTCGAAATGATTTATTTTTCACGATTGGTTAATAAGGGAATTATATGTCCAATTACGATATAAAAGAAGATTTTTGTAAAAACGATAAGATTCTATCAATATTAAATTCATCGGTAATGTAAGAAGTATATATAGCTTGAATTCTAGATCTATTATCTTCATAAAGAGAAGATAAATATCGTTTCTTATTACCAATTTATTGTCAATTCCTGTACATTACTAAAATTTAAATCCAGATAATTTTATACTTTCATGTATATTCTTTCGAATAATATACAAATCACCGATAAAAAGAAACTCGAAAAAAAAGAAAGGAAGAAAGAAAGAAAAAGAAGAAGACACTTTTGTCCCTAGAGATGACAATAAATAATTATATCTCCACGTAGCGAGACTTTTATCTCACGCTTTTACGTAATCAGCGCATCATAAGCCGCTATATATAAAGGCTAATATATATATATATACCTGCAAAGTTTCACCCAACTTTTAACAAAAACATCAGCACCCTTCGAGCCTCGCCTCTTTATAAATAAACGTTTCATTCAACGATTTCGCGATTAATTAATCATTGACCATCTCTCGTCATATCTCTCTTTCTCTATCTCTCTCTTTCTCTTTCTCTTTCTCTCTCTCTACCTGTCTTCCCTTTTTACAGATTTCAACTTGGATTGTTTAGTTTCTCCTTCCTCACCTCTCTTATTTCATCCTTTCCTTTCGGATTACCTTACGTTCAACTGTTATTCCACAAACTCGGCAAGGGAACGCAACATCTCGTTCGAACATCGTCGAGCGAACAGATCACAACGAGACGACGCCCTCTTTCCGGTAATCCGCCGCGTTTTCGAGAAAGTGACAGACAGGAGGAGAGCGTACCGCGCCCGCACCCGAACACACCGACAAAGCGGAATTCTGCGGTTTTCGCGAGGAGGACGAGGTCGGTGTTAAACCAGCAAGATTACCGGCCGCGGCGGTTGCGCCAAATACTGTGGTACAGCTACTTCACCCGGCAACATTTCATTCTCCAGCTTTCGACAGTCCTTCACCTCCAATGTTAACTACCTGAAACGGAGGTGAGTGCCTGACGCCTGTGCGCGCGCGCCCGCCGTGTGTGCCTGTCCACCTATTTCACTGTCTATTTGCATGCCCGATAATAGTTTGCTCGATGGAATTCCTCTTACTTTCCCCTCTGCGCTCGGCTGTCTCAAGAGATTCGAAGAATTCGGAAGCGATGCCGGAAGAATCACGCCAAGAGATTTCTATTTGCTCGTTGAATATATTTTTTTCCTTTTTTTAGAATAATGATATAGATTTTGATTTGATTTAGAATGAAAAACGCCACGTTATTGAGAAATTAATGCTAACTAAATTAATGTCTTCGAATCGTACAATTTGACTTGCAAAGTTTTCGAATTACTTGATTGAAAGGTATTCAGAATAATGATATAGATTTTGTCTCGATCTTCACGATTTTTTAAGGCTCTCAACGGTAGATTGGTATTTTATTATTTATGAAATTCGTGTTTCTGTATTGGTGTAGTCGTTCCTTTAAAAAAAACGAGGAATTTTTACGTGTTCAATTTGGAAAAGTTAAAAAAAGAAAATAATTTTCTTCGACTCGAAGAATCGTTGGACGTGTTTCGAGCGAAACACGTTTAATTTCGCTCGGTGAAGAGAATTGTCACTTTGTTTCTCACGTTTTGGAGCGTTTTAGAATGTGTCCATAATGGTACGCGGAGATGCATATAAGTGAGATACGAGACAAAAGAGTATGGGTCGTTGCACGATGGATGGTTGTGGACGAGCACGTTTGTCCCAGCCTTTTCATCGAATTCGAGGACAGAGGCGCATAATATAGCAGCGTAAAACAACACCTTTATCCGCATACGAATCACATTGGCTTTCTACCGTGTTTGTCCACACGTATCTGGAACAACGGATACATCTCGTATCATGATCTCTTTCGGCGTTGTAAATTGCACATTCCGGCTCGCTCCTATTTATATCCTATTTATCCATTCCACTATAATTAACATCGATATTCGAGTCTGTGGAGATCCGAGCGACAGGTCGATAATTCCTCGAACAAGCACACCACCGTGCCATTATTTAATCAAAGCACAATTAAGTTCAATTAAAAAAAATTCAACAATCTCCACGTCTCTCCACGTGCATGCACTCCCATCAATCTCGATCCATGCACGCAAATCGGCATGGCGAGAAAGTGCTTTGGCAAACGTGCAAACCCACGCTTCAAGCGTCCCCCCCTACGTACCTATCTGTCTACCTCGATTCCATTCCTATTGCACCTAAATTTTATACCGCTGTGAAAGATATTATTCTTGTATTATAATTACAGTTCACAATTGAAGCGAAACCCATGTAACGATCTGTCCAATATTTACCAATTACACTCAAGCTTACCAAATGTCGCATTCCATGCCTTACGAGCCCATAGGTACGAGCCACCGGAACCCGGCTATCGAGTACCTGTCACCCGATCGTCTGCCGAGACCATCACANTGCCTCCCACCTTGTCGCAAAGCACACGAGCGATCGTCGAGCCACATTTCACGCGAGGCACCGCAACCGACGTTTCCACTTCTAATAAGACACCGAGACTGGCGAGCTGCCGCGCTCATCGCAACGCCATCAAAATAACGCCATGCCATCCCCGTGTCACGCATGCAAACCGGCAATCAGCAATCGTCAATCATCGCGCCATCTTTAATGCCATTATTAAAAAAAATATATATATATAATACACCCGAGCACTTGGCTGTTCGATGTGCATATTATGAAAACAGACT